GGGGCGGCGGGCCACTAGCAGGTAGAGGTCCACGCTGCATAGGGGCCCTCGGGTCTGGCATGGGCACTGCCAGGGAGACACACAAGAGCTCGTGAGGATCTGCATGACCAGTGCTGTGCTGACACTGTCCCCCAGCGCTCTCGGGGTGTGGGGCAGCCCCACACTGCTCCCCTGGTGCGGGTGGGTGAGCCGTGCTGACTGCCAGGGTGGCAGCCCCTCACGCACGGCCACAGCGCACCAAAACCCCTTCTCTGGCTGCTGGTTTCATCCCTCTCTGGCTCTGCCTCAGGGTCCTTACAGCATCAGGTGGCCAAACCAAGTGTGGGCGCCCCCACGGTAAGTCCTACAAGCACGGGCATCAACACCCTGCTGATGTGGGGCCAGGAGCAAAGCAAGACCTGGCAGCGAGGTGTCAAAGGGGGCTGGGTCCTAACTAAGGTCCCTCTCAAGCAGGCTCTCCGTTTCCACTGGTGCGTGGCGCTAGCCCGTTCTCTCCTCCAGCCCCTGAGGACATCCTGCCTCCTCCTCTCAACCAGGGCACACAGAGTGTCCTGGCAGCCCCCCGAGCACAGTGGGGTGAGTGCTGCTCCCTGCACACTCCACACGAGCTCCGTGGCAGGAGGGAGCAGGCGGGTGCCGGGATACCTTGAACGCGTTCGATAGACGCAGGCCTGGCAGGTCCCACGGGCGAGAGCTGCAGGTTCCCTGGGCAAGCAGCAGGAAAAGAGGGAGAAGAGCAGACACGTGAATAGTGTATGCACACATGCACTCAGCTCTGGGGACGGTGCTGCCTGCAGGTCGCCTCCACTCCCTCAAGTCCCCTAGCAACACCTGTGGGGATGCTGCATGCTGCACATCTGGCTTGATCAACCTCTTCCACTAACTCTGTCACTAGAGGCGTGACAGACCCTTCCCTCACTCACCGTGTGACATGCAAGGCAAGAGGACATCCTGCTGAGACAACGGGCATGCTGCAGGGCCATGCTGTGCCCCACGGTGCACAGCCAGCTCCTGCCCCTGCTCACAGCTCCCCACAGCACTCCCCAGTGCCAGCTTTCTGCCTGGTCCAAACTTTCCGGGTGCCCAGAACTACCTGGTTGCTCTCAGGAAGATGGTGCCCACCCCAAAGCAAACAAGAGACCGCTGCCCCTAAGACCAGAGGGGCTCAGCACAGCTTTGCCACGCTCCTGAAACAAGGCTTATGACACAAGTTGAGGCAACAAGTGCCTGCGTGCCTCATTACTGGGA